GGCTGTCAGTTTCAACAAAGAACCTGCAAGGATTTTGACTGAGATATTATTAAATGTATACATCACTCCGGGGAGATAATTAGTCACAGCATTACATTTTTCAATTAATGGATATAGTTTATCCACTTATTTATTTAGGTCTCCTCTAATTTATCTTAATTTCTCTGTAGAGAGTGTTTAGATCTTTTGGTTAGATTTACTTTATCTTGGTGTTTTTAAGTGTTGATAAAATAGATTCTTTAGGAAAAAATATTTTAATAATTATTGGTGTATAGAAATGTAATTAACATTTTTATTTTGATATATTCAGAATCGATTCTAACCTTATATATCAATATTTATATGTATGGATTCTTTGGAATCTTCTATTCACTTTATCATGTTTCTTGAGAATAACAGCTACATTTTATGCTTAAAATTTTTATTAATTGTTATTATCTTATTGGTTAGAACATTTAATTCAATGTTAAATAAAAGTAGTAATAGGAGGCATCATTTTCTGGCACCTTGTTTCATCAGGAAATCTTTTATTACTGCATCTATGAGGAGTTTTAAATCTTTGGTTTAGTGTTTTCAGCTATTGTCCTTCAATTATTGTGTCTGTCTCACAGTCATTTATTTCTTTTGTGAATCCTATTATATGTGTTAGAATTTCTCACTGTATCAGCCATGTATCTTTCCATCATATTATGTCTCTTTTTATTCTGAATATTTCTTTTGCTATTTCTCCCAGCTCATGAATTTCTCTCTTCATCTCATTTCATATGTAGTATTCACTTCCATTTTTCAGTTAAATTTATAGAGCTTCCACATGTTTCTTTGTTAGTAGTTTACAGTGTCCTGTCCAAATTTTCAATCTTGGCTTTTATCTCCCTTAATACATTAAATGTTGTTATTTTAAGTCTGTGTTTAGTAATAGCTTAGAGTCGCTGGTGCTTGGTTTCTGTTGCCTATTTTTCTGCTGTTTTTAATTTATGCCACTTTTCTCTGGTACTGGGTTATTTTTTTGTTACTGTTAGGACAATGTGCACAATTGTTTGTAGAAATAATTTGAGGATTACAACATTGTCACTTTCTACTAAAGAAGATTAATATTTGTTTAGGCCAGGCTTCTAACTGTGCTTGCAGTGCGTAACTTTCAAGCATGGGGATGACATGAAGGGGAACTGTAATCTTTAAAAGTCCTCTCTAGTTCTGGTTCATTCTTATGTCATTCTTTTTCAGAGATCTAGAAGAAAGCACTAAGTTTTCACCTAGTTTCTCCTCCTTGGTGGGCCCTGTCCCCAAATTTTGTCCAGCTAGCTCTAGCAGATTGTCAAAAAGAACTCCAGTCCAGTCACCCAGTTTCTCATGAATTAGCACAAAATTCCAGGAGAAAAGTAGCATGGATGAGACAGATTCTAACAGAGCTTCTGCTTTCTGCTGTATCTTTGTTCTTTGTTGCCATGTTGGTTCTTCAGTGACTTCAAGTTTTCATGTGTTAAATCTTATGCCATAGTCTGCTATTACTGGATTTAGAATTTCTCTGTATTTCCTACTATTGATTTTTGATTGTTTACTCGCCCTGTCCATATTGTTTTTATTTTTTTTTTGCACTGATAAGTAAGTTGCTTAGATATTTAAAATGCTAACTATGGGAAATGAAAAAAATGATGAGGATTTGCTGACGAGATGAACTGGGCATGTTCCTGGCATACTCAAATACAGCTGGAAAAACTAATAACAAGCATTGAAAATAGGGTTTTGAAATGAAAGAATATTGTCCAAGTTGACTTTTTTATATCATGAAAAAATATATGCCTTTTAATAGTAAAATAAGTCTGCCAACATTGTCTTTTCATTGGATTGGTACATCTTAGCACCCTTCAAACAGTGAACCATAGATATTAATACAGGAAAAAGAGCATATTGATTAAGGCACAAGTTTAGACCTCACATTTTCTTTGGATTTTTAAAAAACAGCAATTGGCAGAGAAAAATTTTATAAAATTTCTTTAATAATTTCTTTTTAAGACTTTTACCAGAAGTAATTTTACACAGGGTTTATACCAAATAGAATAATAATACATTAATTGACAATCACACTAAGAATAAAATCAAATATTAAACAGTGAAAACAATTGATTGGTTGCTTCTCTAGGACAAGCAATGTGCTTTCGTTTTCAGTCATAATCAGTGAGTATGGAGGAAGCTCCATCAAATACCATTCACAATACAGCAACCAGAGTAATTTTTGTAACAATGAAATTTAAATAAGCTTTACAGTGCCTACCACTTGCATCTAGAAATTCCAATCATTGCATGATTTCCAAGAACCTGCATAACCTGATTTTACCTCCCATTTGCTTTCTCTTTCTTTCATTAGATTCCTGTACGATCAGCCTTGCTTTGTATCCCCTGAACACACCAAGATTCTTGCTGCTACATGTTTTTGTGCTTGTTGATACCTTTGCCTGGAAATTCTTGTCCCTAGCTTTTCTTGTGGCTGGTTTCATTTTTACCATTCAGGCTACAATGAGGGCTAATCTCACAAATAATCAGAATTAACCTTCCTTCATCTCTGCTGCTTGTATTTCAATAACATTAACTTGCTTGATTTCTTCATAGTGTGGTCATTTTCTGAAATTATTTTTATCATTTATTTCTTTGCTTACTTCTGCCATCTCCTCTTTAGAAAATAGGGATCTATCATTTTCTAGAGCCTAGAACAGTGCTGGTCACACCCTAAAGATAATGCTTGGTGAGCTCTCCAGCACTATATTTGAAAGATTTAGGCAAAATATATTAGTTATTTTAATAGAGAATTTCATTGCCTAGATTAGCAAATTTTATATTGGAGAAAAATTTGAGAGTGAGAGTTCTCATGGAGAGGTAATTCTGGCCAAAGAGAGTCAATTTTCTAACTTGCAATGAAGATCAACCCTCAAATACTCAAATAGTGTCTAAACTTGCTCAGAGGGAATAAGTGTGCAAACACACATTCATATGTAGAATGAGATCATTCATATTCTCTGAGTAAGAAATGTTGAAGTAATTCTTACATTAAAATATTATCTGATCAGCATTTTCCCGTCTGTGAAGCACTTGGTGGGTATTTTTGATTAATTGTAAATAGTAACCTTTATATTTAAATAGGCAAAATTCATCTTTTTTCCCTTAACCTCCAATTCTGTACATATACATGTATACACTTTCTTAGGTTTGGGATAATAGTCAGAGGAGAAAAATACTGGTAGTAAGACTGTGGTGAAATTTCCAATTACCATGGCTACCTTTGATTAAAGTGTATATGTATGGGAGCTCTTTAATCTAGATAAAAGTATTTACTGATGGTCACGTGGTAGAGTATTTGGATTTATTGAACCCAGTTGTGCTTTCAATATTGCAGTCAGAATCTGCCACTATCGATCAGGTGAAGATGTGGGCTTCACCTGCAGTAGACTGTGTTCCATGATGGTTCCGTGGTTCCCACTTCTTGGTGCACTCACCATGTATGATTCTCGGCAGGTCTGTGAATGTGGGGGATTTCACTCCTGCAAGTAGATTATGTTATATATAGCAAAGTTGAGAAGTGATTTTGCAAATGGAATGTCACATAAGTTAACTTTGAGTTACTCAAAAAAGGAGATCACCTGGATGGGCCTTCTACCGTCAGACGGGCAACGCTGCATGCAGGAGCTCATAGTGCAGACATGGTCCCCTTTTAGTGAAGTACATCTTTCTCTAACTATGAAAAATTCTTTATAATAATTCCTTCCTAATTTCGCTTTTCTAAATTATATTTTTGGATATAACATCTGAAAAACCCTTCCCTTCCCTCAGGTTCTTTCTATCAACTATAATTTGCCAGTGTCTTTCACATACAACAACACCTAAATAAAACTTTGCTTTTTAAATTTTTTTCATTAAAATTTTTTTATTTTCTCCCATCCCCCCTCAAGCTCCCTCCTCTTCCTATGTACAGAAGCTTTGTTTCCATTTTTTCCTTCTATTTTCACTTTTTTTCTTGTCCCTTCCTTTCTCCCTCCCTCCTCCCTTGTTCCCTTTCCCATTTGAACACTTTCTTCCCATTTCCCAGCAAAATGGGAAGAAATCAAATAAGTAAATCCATTTACTTATTTGCTTATTTACTTTGTAATCAAATCAGTAAATGCATTCTCAGTGGAGGAGAACAATATGACATGGGTTCGTAGACTCAGGACTTGTGAAGTAGGAGAGTAGGCCATAATCAATTAGGGTGACGTGAAATAGGGAAAATTCTTGAAACTGTCAAGCTAATACATTTATGTATTTGTGAAAGAGAACAGGAGGCAGATATAGTGCTAACTAGTATTAGGATGTGTTATGTTTAAAAGGTACATTAATTCTATTGTTTCTGGATTAAAAGCAAACTCTATCCGCATTGCATGCTGAGATTCTATGCAATGCTCTAACACTTGAATTCATTAAGTAGTTTATTGGCTTCTATTCATCCCTTTCCGGAGCCGTGAGTTCACTCTGTAGTCATTTCTCAGTTGCTCATATCTTTGAGAAGGGCCTCTCTTCCCTTCATTTTGTGTGTTTTCTTTGTTGGCTTCTAATTATTTTACTGCATTAGTCTAAGCTGTTAGTCAAGTAGCTCCAAGAACAGATTTAATGAGGGTGACGGATTTTGACTTTCATGTAAAATTATAAACCTGTGTCCATGGAAACAGAAGGGAAAGTAAAATCTGAGATTCCCTTCATTTTTATCTTGCTGTGTGACACAATGAAAAATAACCACAGTGGTAATCACACAATTACATGCTGCAGCAAATCCAATATTCCAGGTGTCAGGAAGGGACAATCCGTCTCATACAAAAGGAGTATACTTTGGATTATAATAAACATGTCTTAGCTACTATCAACCTCAGTATGTGGTTCTAATCCATTATAACCTGAAAGCATTAGAATGTTAGGTTTTAATAAATATTTGTTTAGATAGAATTACCATGACAGCTATGAAATACCGAAGATGCAGTTATTTGTGAATACTTTTGTATTAGAACCAGCTGCCATGACAAAATATTGCATCTGGGATAGTCTGAACGACAGAGAATTTTTTCATTCAAGTTCTGTACACCAGAAGTCCAACAGCAAATTGCGGCCAATGTAGGTTAAATTCTGGAGCCTCTTCTCTTGGCTTGTAGGTTCTTTCTGCTGTGTGCTTCCATGACCTCTTTGCATACTGTGAGGAGAGAGAAATAATGAGACCCAGCTTTCTAGTGGTGTCTCTTCCTATGAGGACATTAATCTCCTCACCTGCATGACTCATTTAGCCCTGTCTCCCAGGTTAACTTCAATATGATCACATTTAGGATTAGGTCTGCAACATGTGAATTTTGGGGGATGCACCATTCAGTCCATTCAGCTTTATTGTTTATTTGTACACTGTTGTGATGGTCACGGAAATTTGCCATTGAAATCTCCTTCAAGAGAAACTGCTATGGGGAAGCACAGCTGTTGAAGAGCCTCAGCCACCCTTCCTTAGAATCCACCAAAGTGCCCACATTTTACCTGTTTTTTCCCAGCCAATAACTGCAAGTCAGTGGGCTCTAGGACTTTTCAAACAATCAATTTTGTCTCATCAACTCTTGTCCACCTGGTTGAAATTTCCCAGAGCTACCTTGCAGGCTGAGACTCTTCCTAGCCAATTCTCTTTCCTTTCCCTTCTTTCAGAGCAGCCAGACCCGCATATTTGCCCTGGGAGCTTCTTCCTGCATTACTTCCACTTCCTCCCCTTTGTCCTCTATCAACATTCCCCTCAACATGTCTGCTTCATGTCTGCTAACATGTTGGCATCTGTTTCTTAGAGGATCTCACCTGGTACAACTGCCTTTTCCAAGAAAGAATGTAAAATGGCTTGTACAGATACCAGCAAGATACTTAAAATAGATACAGAAAATTAGGAAATAGGAAAAGTAAAGAAGGAAAAATACAGTTCAAAGGGAGTCAATTTTCAGAGGGAATATAAATGTGTGGATCATATCTCTAGCTCCAAGAAAAAGTATAGCTGCCAATGGAATTTGAAAATATGTATATAAGATGGTTTTTGTTTTGCAGCTTAGAATAAAAAATAACTTTCTGTCACAGAAACATATGGGGTTAGAGTAGACACTAAGTTGAGCACAAGTCAATGAAAGTTTTGTTGAACAAGGTCAAATGGGATACTGGGATATGTTACCATATCTGTGAAATTTGCATGGATAGTAAAGCAGGTGTAAGATTGATATAATGCAGAGCCCCAATTTTTGTGGTTAAATGCACGGATCTGGTATTAATAAATGTTAGCCATTATCATCCTATCACTATACTAATTTTTATCCATCAACTGTTAACCTTAACATTTTTAGGAAAACATAATTCAGAAAGCATTAGATAATTACTTTGAGCTGGAAAGCAATCAAACTTAATCTATAGGTGTTAGTGTTGACCATCCAATATTTATTAAATATAATAGAGTTATGATGATTGATTTCTCCATCTTATCTCTATTTTAAAATATTAGCTGATTATCATATATACTCTTTACTTTCTAGTACCAAACACTGTTAGAACATTGAGTTGAACCATCTATTGATATGTGAGGATGTATATTAAATTTAATGCTAGCTCATTTTAATGATGGGTTTTAAATTCTAAGCTATACAATTTAGGGAGAATTTAGGAGTGATTCTGAGAGAAAGAACACTTACTAAAGTGACAATATGTCTTTTATTTTATTTTATTTTTATTTTTTAATTTTTTTTTGGTACTGGGGATCAAACTTGGGTCCTTGCGCTTGCAAGGCAGGCTGTGGAACCACTGAGCTAAATCCCCGGCTTTGACAATATGTCTTTTAAAGCATCAAGATATATTTTACATATTGTGATGGATAATTTATATGTTATGAACTAAGGGATATCCAGGTAGCTGGTATCATATTATTTGTGAATGTGTCTCTGAGGGTGTTCCTGAAAGAGATTAGCATTTGAATCATTGCACTCAATAAGGCATATGATCTTTGTCAATGTGAGTAGGCATCATTCAATCCATTGAAGGCCTGGACAGAAAGAAAATGGCAGAGGAACGGTGAATTCAGACTCTCTTTTGGAGCTGGAGGATTCATCTTTTTTCTGCCTCCAGGCATTATAGTTCATGGTTTTCTGATTTTGAGCTCTAATTTTTACCAGACCCTTCATGTTACTGGGTTCCTGAGTCTCTAGCTTGCAGATGGCAGCTTATGGGACTTTTTGACTATGACAATTTCATGAATTTCCATAATACATTTCATGATGTGTGTGTGTGCGTGTGTGTGTGTGTGTGTGTGTGTGTGTGTTCACCCCATTGGTTTTCTTTTTTTTCTAGAGAGTCCTGTCCTGATTCATATACATGCATTAATATGCATTTGAGTATGAACACACCCAGATAACTAACATCTAATGTAAGATATACATTATATCGTTTTTTTAATCACCTTTGATGGTTTCTACCAGGTTTTGAAACTTCCCTGTTTACACTACTCTTTTTTTAAAAAGGGATTCTTTCATTCATTGTTATAATTGTAAGACTCATTCATGAAGTAGTAATTACCTTTACTTGAATTTTTCTTTGGTATTCTAATGTATGATTTATTTGCCCATTCTATTGTTGATGGAGAATTGGACAGTTTCCAGGTTTTGATTATTATGAACAGTGCTGGTATGAACATTTTTCTACTTGTCTTTTGCTGCACACATGTGTGGTTCTGTTGGGTGTTTCCCTACAAGTAGAATTCTGGGCTATATACAACAGGCATATGTTCAACTTTAACAATATGGCTAGAAAGGTCTACAAAGCGATTGTATCAACTTGCATGAAACCAGAAGTGTCTGGGCGTTCCAGTTGCTCCGTATGCTCATGAATGTGTGATAGCAATTTTTACCCTTTGTTCAGTCAGTTCCAACATGTATTTTTTAAATCATTTGCTGCATTCATGAGCCAAAATGTTCTGAGGTCAATGAAGAATAGTAAGATAGAAAATAAAGAGAAGAAATAGTAAAAAAGTTAGGAAGAGAAAAAGATCAGAAATAAAGCAAAGGAAATAAAAGAAAGATTGTCTGAGCTATGGAGGAAATACCAATGTATTTTTATCACCTCTGAAGAATGAAAATAAAATTCAGTTCCACTGGAGGAGCATTTCTACACTCTTATTTGAATCTCTGATTTCTTAGAGTATAAGGATATGATGATAGAACAAAAGTGAGTAAAATTAAAATAGTAAGAAAATATAGGAAAAAACCCCAATAGACCTAAATATCATTGGAAGAGTCTAGAAAATAAGTAAAAATGATCATTAAATATTTAAAAATATTTCATATATCTTCACTATTTTCGGGGTCTATTCCTTCCATCTAATGAATCTACCAAGGCCTTCATGAATTTTTTTTTTGATAGTAAAAATTTTTGAAGATTTGAAAAGAAAAACAGGAAGGTGATGTCTAATTTCTTCCCACTCTTTACTTTTCTCTTTCTTTTTGTACTTTCTTCAGTATGACCTAACACATCCTTTCTTCTTGGAGAGCTGAATGCAAGTGACAAATTTACCAATTATGAAATCCCAAAGACTTGAGCTAATTCTCTGCTGCAAGGTAATACAAACCATCACTGAGAAGAGAAATACTATAACGGTGGAGAGGAAGATGATACTACATACATTCTGGGTAAATGACTTTTTAAAAATCTGTCTACGTAATTAAAAAAAAAAATTTTTGGTTTTGATATTTTGAGAAAAGTTTTCTCTATATAGTTCAGGCTGACCTGTGAACTCACTATATAGTCTACATTGGCAATCCTCCTGCCTCAGCCTCCCAAGTGCTGGCATTAAAGGCCCAGTGAGTCTCATTTAATGGCTCTATGAAGGGAAGTTCCTAAAGGATTAAAACCTTCTGCATACTTCAAACTTATTGCTTACCTGTTTCTGACTTATTCTTACCTCTTTCTGCTTAGTAACACTAGCTTCAGTAAAAGCTGGTTGGCAGGCAGACACCATTGGAAACAGAGCAACTGTGTCTTTTTGGGTTTGCTTGCTAATTCTGCCCCCTACTCCCACTCTGTGAGCCATCTGGAAGAAAGGAACAGGCTTCGAGTTAAATTTGGAGATCTATGAGGCATGAGATACGTAGTTGCTCTATTCATTTGAATTGAAAATTTGATCCATTTCTGGAGACATCTTAGCATCAACCTTCTGGGTTGAGGTATAAATCTGGAAATGACTTCAGAACATTATTTGCTGTGATTTAGCAGGGCAAAGTGCTGTCTCACACCTAGCAGAAAAGCAATAGAGCAATAACACTTGAATTGCTGTTCTTGTCATTTTTTCTTTCAGTTAAGAATACTGAAGAACTTTAAAATAATCCTGTGTGTGAGTTAACATAAACTGAACCAGTCCAGTATCCCAGAATTTTTCCAGGCAACTTCTGTAGTGCTGTTCTCATTGTGTTAGCAAGACATAGCTTCGATTACTGTCCCAGATCAGCTGAGGTCATAGTTTAAAGACTGAAAATAAGAAGAAAGAGAGGCTTACTGCCAGAAAGCAATTAATACATCATTGCAAAGAATGCCAAAACACACACATTCTACTGTTACCATGACAGACTTAATCCTCTACTAATGTCTGTTTTGCTACCTACACGGTAGTGAAGGCTAGAAAATGCTAATGATAATTTCAGTGAGGGATAGGTTTTCACCAGAGGCGTATTTATTTTGCAAAATTTATGATGTTATATGCTAAAGGAATTTCTACTTCTTGTTGGGTTTTGTGGATCACTCTGCTGGAGTTACAATATTTTTAGGTATTTACTTCCCAAGTAAAAACATAACCAAATAATTAAGCAAATGTGCTTAATCTATGAAAAGTGGATGGACAGGCCAGGGTGGGTTTAAATAGTGAGTGATATACAATCTCTTCTTCCTTTGCCTCTTTCTTTTTAAAGGTAATTTAGGCAACATGGAATAGATAGTACACACACACACACACACACACACACACACACACATTGTAAGAAATTAACTTCTGTACCATCCAATCAGAGTTTAACAGCTGAAAGGGACACTAGAGATTCTTGTAGTTTAATCTAGAAATTGAGGCTGAACCAAACAATCCTTGTGATTTCTTTCATCAACCAGACTCCATAAGTTTATGGAATGAATTGAACTATATAACAAGCAAACACTGACAGATATGAGAGGAAATAGCATGTGGAGACAGCGGTCACAGAAATCCTCATTTTCCATCTTTTACTATAATCAGTGAAGCTCACTTTTCTGAGTGTGAAAAATATGCATATGTGAATGACAAGCAGATCTTTTCACGTGACATTATTTAAACACAAAATATCATCATAGCTCTCTGCCCATTTATTTATTTATTTATTTATTTATTTTTTCTGGTACTAGGAATCGAACTTAGGACTTCATACTTGCCAGGCAAGTGCAGTGCCACTGAGCTAAGCCCCCAGCCCACTTATTTATTTATTCAATAACTATGCATTATAGGCTAGACAATGTGCTGTTTGCTAGGTGCAGAAGGAATAATACAGAAACTTTCTTGCCTTTCTTTCTTTTTTTCTTTCTTTCTTTCTTTCTTTCTTTCTTTCTTTCTTTCTTTCTTTCTTTCTCTCTCTCTTTGGTGACATGGCCTCACTATGTAGCACCACCTGCCTGGCACATGTGTGATATTTTTGCTGAGTGGGGGAACACAGACCTATATATAATATTCTATTGATCCTAAGGCACACATTTTCCCCATAGTATTTTAGTATCTTTGATTTTAGGATACATCCTAAAATTGAAACAGTGTCGTAGCTTGGCACATTATTTATTTCTTTGAGGCATGTAATATGGTAGTTTGTTGACATCCTCACTGCCATATCAATAGAATATGTTGATATCCATCTATCATCTATATAACTGCAGTTGCAATATAATATATCCAATATCTACTATGGCAAGTACTACCAGGAAAAAGTGTCATTTGAGAGACCAGTAGGAGACCTACTTTGGATTGGGATGTGTGAAAATGTTTGGACAAAGTGATGTGTGCATCTTGAAGAAAGAGAAAGGCCCAGTTCAGAGGAGATAAGAGCATCACAGGAAAAGAGATCAGACTTTGGGAACAATTGGTGAGGGACAGCTGGGACTGTTTGAGGAACAGACAGAAGACCAAAGTTGCTGGACAGAGCAAACAATAGAGCCTTTCAAAAAGTGCTGACACTTTTAGCTTCTGGCAAGCATTTATTCTGGAAAGACGTTTTCAGATCAGTTGGGTTGAAGGTGGTTCCTTTGTGTATTATTCATTGCATGATGAAGTAAAGGCATCATAGACTCTGCCACTGCTTGGGAAAATCAGTCCATAGTTGATCTTTTTATTAGAATCATTTTTAGTTTAAGTAGTTGTATTTAAACTAAGTTATTAAGCTAATTTTGCTTAAAGCGCACACACATAAGAAAAAGTGTCAATAAACCTGTTGGTTGTATTGTAGAAGTCATAATTCACAGAGGCTCAATTGTGATATGCTATACTCTTTATAAACATAAAAAGTAAAAATGTAGCAAATGAAATTAAATGGCATAAATGTGAATATTAAAAAAGTTCAAAGTGTAGAAGATACAGCTTGTATTTTTAGGTAGGGAAAGATGGTCTCTGTAACCTAATTTGTACTTAACTTCAACAACTGCTACTTTTTAATATCTCAAGGATGAATGGCTACATGTGGTCAAGAAGGAAATCCATGTTAATCAAGTTTTATCATGCAATATTTTTATCTTTTTCAAACACAAATTACAAGTTTTCTACTCTATGTGTAACCTAATCACCATTAGCTTACCACAGGCACATTTAAACAGGTATCTCAAAACCAAAAGAAAACATATTTTCAATTATCAGATTTAGGCACACTTTCCAAAAGAATCACAAAGTACTGCACTATTTTATTACCTTTAAAAATTGATTTGCCCCCATCCTGTTAACAACAACAAAATCTCCATTAAAATAAGTGCAAACTATCTTTTCACTGTTTGTCTCATTTTTCATGATTGCCTTCCAGGCTTCTGTTTTGTGTTCCAATTTTATTTTGCTAGAGGTAATTTTATGTAGGCTTTTCTGAATGTTGCCGTCACTTTAAAATCCAGGTGTACATTTGCATGAAAGCATTTACGGAAAATAAACACAACCCTATGAGAAGTAGGAATGACTATGATCTTTAATGAAAATAGTGTGGTCCTATCCGACTCGACGTGCCCGTGCCGAGATTATTGAGAAGAAATCCTACCAGCGAGCTCCAACAATATTTAGAAACTGGACCCAAACACTGCTGTTTCCCAGGAAGTGTGGTAGTTTAAATGAAAACTTCTCCATTCTGCTGGGATTTAATTGACCACACATGGTAAAGAATGTGAGCGGAAGGACTCAGAGGATTACATTTAGTTCCTGTAAGTGAAAAGTCATCCAACTTAAACAGGAAGGAACAAAATTTAAATGCTAGAGGATGGAACAAAATTGCTATAATTTCTAAGGTGGAAATACTCAGATGGCTTTATTTTTTCCTTGACTTTTTCATATAGAAATGGGAAAAGCAGCAAAGTACAACTGGAAAGACTGCATTTAAAGTTGGGAAAACTTTAAAAATAGAACTATGGAAATTGAAAGGGAAAAATAATTCTGGATATTTTATACTTCATAATTCATGCTTAATTAACAGTTATGGATATGTTTTTGCTTAGTGTTCGTTAACCACCCCAAATCCTCATGTAACCCTCGTATTAATCAATTATGACTGCTCTTAGATTTGGAATCACATTATTTATCTAATATGAGTGCTTCTTAGTGGGTACCATTAGGATTTCAAAATAGTGTTAAATGGCCTAGAGAAACAACAAAAATTTAAAGAGTGCCTAATGAGAATAGTAAAAACTAGTAAGGCATTAAGAAAACTACTCATATAGAAACAATCTACTACTATGATAGAATGTTTATAGATAGAAGAAAAATATTCCACATATATGAAACATTTGTTCCTGGTGGGACATGGAAAATGAAGTATAATACTAGCATAGGAGAAATACAATTAATTGGCTTGTGGTTTTTGTATCTGCCATTGGCTTGTGACTGTGGACAAACCATATTAACTTTTTTTCTAAGCCTTTGTTTTTTGATTTTAAAAAACGGAAAAATTTACAGTATTTTTCCCACCAACTTCCTATGGGAGACAATTAAGATGATACTAATCAGTACCTAACCAGTAAAAATGTTAAATAAATCAATATCCTATAAGAAATAATTTATCATTGCTATTAGTATTGTACTAGAAATATACAAAGATATGCAGGAATGTGTTGGTGTAAAACCTTAGCTCCTATTCTATTGTTTTTTCTTTTTCTTTTTTTTCTGGTATGGGGATTGAACTCATGACCTTGTCCTTGCGAGGCACAGGGCCACTGAGCTAAATCCCCGGCTTTGCTAGCTTCTTTTTTTTTCTTTCTTTTTTCTTTTCTTTTTTTTTTTGGCACTGGGGATCGAACTCGGGTCCTTGTGCTTGCGAAGCAGGCAGCGGAATGCTAGCTTCTATTCTAAAACAAATCATTTTTTGCCAGGTCTCCGTGAATCAGTGAAAATTCTATTGTTCACTATTGGCCTTTCTATAATGCAATGATCAAATCATTAAGTTAGCCAAAACTTAGCTCTGAGAATTAATTTTGGCTTATTGTTCTCAGCATATGTAAATCTTTCAATAATTTTTCTTTTTCCCAAACTAATAAGATCAGAAGTTTAAAAAAAAAGATTTTCTTGATACAAGTTTACCTTCTTTCCCTTCGGGAAACATCACTGTGCCTTACTGCTTTAATACTGAAATTGGCAGGGCTTACTGGCTGGAAGCGAACAATGAAAAGTCCCTCCCTGAGACGGGCGGGGGTGGAATGAATGCCCCGGGAACTGACTGCCTCCCCCGTCCCCAATCTCAAAGGCCAGATGGGCTCTAGACAAACCCTGGGAGTGTAGGCCCTTGAGTAAGTGGAGGTCAGCCATAGCATGAGGAAATGCCTCGCTGAAACACACGTGGGAAACCTGTTTGAGTACCCAGAGCAGTGCCAAAATGGCTAGAAATGGAGTAACGCAGTGGACTTTAGCTGAGTCTGCACCTACAGAAGCATCCTGCTCTCTTAAAAGGCCGAGATTGGAGCTTGCTGCTCTGTAGGATTCAGAGCACAGTAAAGGTTACGAGCTGTACTGGTTTTCATGACTTCTGTTGTTTACCTTAGCTTTAGGAAAAAGGTCTTTTTTAATAAGTTTATTTTATCGGGGGATTATTATCAGTCAACTGAGCATGATGGGAAATGAGAAAGAATTGTTGTCTGTTGTAAGGGCGGAGGGGCAGGCTGAATAGGATGTGGTAAGAGATTCTACTTCCTGTAGACAGTTCATGTAGTAGAAAACTCAGTAGGCTCATGTATAATGAATTATACAGACTTGCTTGCAAATAACAACATACCCATGAAAGACATCATGACATCTTCACACACACACACACACACACACACACACACACA